CGCCCAGGAAGTCAGGATAATTTTCCATCCCAAGATCCTTAATTGAACACATCTGCAAAGTCCCTTTTGCTATGTAATATATTTACAGTTTCCAGGGGTAGGATGTGGACATCTTTGGAGGATTATTATGCAGCCTAGCACACACCCCAATCCCCACCCCATGGTTCTTCCTTTCCTACTATTTCTAGGGAAGAAATTCCCCCTGTATTTGCCAAAGTTTACACCATAATCCTCCCCCACCCACGCCCCACCCCAGCTTTTCACATCCTCCCACATTGCCTGCCCATCCTATTGTCAAATATTGCCTCTCATTGTCTTCAGCTGTAGTGAGTTCTTTTTGGAGACAGACTAGTCTGGGTTTGAATTCCCAGCTCTGTTACTTCCATGCTGGGAAGGCTTAGTCTCAGAACTTCAACTCTGGTTCCCTTCTAGTAGACTTACAAATGTCTCCCTTCTGGGTTGATGGAAGGATTAATGGAAATAATGGTTATAGAAAGTCTCTCTCCCACAGCCTGTCAGATGGAAAGCATTCAGATAAACTGTTGCCATTATTATCTTCATTGTTTCCTTCCTATCTTAACTTGGGAGTCTGGAGGTCTACACAGCTTTTAAAGATGGTTGGGTCCTCTCTGTAAGCCATCACTCCAGTAGCACATTCCATGACCGGACAGACACAGGCTGGCCTTTTCTCTCTGCCATATTGTTTTCTAAGTTGGATTCAGTCCAACAGTTGTTTATGAAGCGCCCCCCTTCTCCCCTGGGCTGTTTGCTACGTGTACACAGGTGAGTATGGCACAGTCCCTGCCCTCGGCAGGCATTCCTCAGAGTTGGGCAATGGAATGCATAAAAATAAAACGTCAACGTAAAGTGACAAATGCCATAGCTGCTTGGAGACATCAGAACAGATTGCTGGATGAAGGGATACTTGAACTGAGTGAAGTAGGAAATACCTTTTGCAGGAAAAGGGTTATTGCTCTTTGTATTCATCACTTATATCACTGCCCAAGGCAAGGGGCCAAACTCTATCATCAGCAAGATTTATGCTTGAGTGTTTCAAAATAATAAGAGCTTCACCATTCTGTTCTTTCAAGTCCCAGCCGGGCACAGAGGGAACTTGTGGTGTGGGCCTGTTTAATCCCAGGATGCCCTGCTTTTCCAGGGAGAGGCATTTAAATAAATTTAAAGCACCACCATCAGTTTGCTTGATTGGAATATGGTGGCTGCCCAAGCATCTTCAGCCAGCACTGAGAGACTCTTGCCGACAGGAACATGGCCATGTGATAAAGTATCAAGAACATCAGGATGGGCTATAAATCAGTGTCTGTCTGACTTTTTAGATCTTGACTCATTACAACAGAGCGAAAAATCTACCTCCACACATCCTATGCATGCCAGCTTTCTAAAGCAAAAGAATTCTGTGATGGCTAAGTATTGAAGTGAGCATGTAACAATAAAATCTCTGAAAATGCATGTCACCAACCCAGTGATCAACAAAAGCAAATCCCAACATAATTTCTCAACTAAATTAATGCAATAAAAAGAGAAACAATCCAAAACCAAACCAACTGAAAGTAGCACTGATGCTATACATTTAACACAGCACCCTTCCAGAAAGTCGTGGGAGTCTCTTCGCTGCACGCTTGTGTGTTCTCAGCAGAAGCTTTGCAATATTGCCAAAGCATTGGGTGGCTTCCAGACTTACTGATAGAATATAAAATGGAATTTTTTAGCAAACTCTAACAATGTCTTAATTTTAATTTTTGAAACCAAGTTTTAGTTATCCATATTTTTTAACTTTATTAATAAACAGTCCTTAGTTGTGCATCAAAGTGAAAATCTATGGGTTTGTGTCTACTACCTGCAAACAAACAAACAAGCAAAAAGATTTACATTCTCAGATCCATTTATAATCCATCCAGGAAAAACCTGGTAACCTAGAGTGGACTCAAGCGATACTCAGAGATACTCTACTCCAAGGGAAACCAACATGCATTCCTCATCTCCTAGTCCCCTTGATGTGGTTCTCTTTTCGTCTTTCTTGGGGGGAAGCTAAGGAGTGTCACACAGCACTGCAAGCAAGAATCTACAAATCTATGGTAAGAGCATGAATTAGGAGGTAGATCCAGGTACTGGAATTCCAGGGAGAGGTTAGGACAAAGGGTAAGGAACACACAGTGAGCTAAGATCTGCGGAGACTTGAATTTACAGGTTTGTAGAAAATGAAAGCTGGTTGCGAATAGAAAATCATTCATCTTGAACCTTTCACTTCATAGGGAGAAAGGGACTTGAGATCATAAAAACTAGGAAATGATAGCATGTACCTCTCAAGACTATTGTAAATTCAATGAAGGGACACATGCAAAGCCCGTGGATTTTTGGATCAGAGTAAATGTTAACAAATGTTTGCTCATTCCTGAATGACAGGACCAGAATAAGTCTTCTCATTTAGAGGAAGTGTTTCGTCAGGCTGCCAGCAATCCCAAGCATACAGGAAATTCATGTTAAAACAGTGGTAATCTCCAGAGCATGATACTGGCTCCAAGCACTGGTACACTGTGAGGGAGTTCATATGTTTCTGTTCGGATAGGCATGAATCTCAGGCACAGTTTACGATTCCATCTAGTAAAGTATTTCTTTTTTTTTTTTAAGATTTTATTTTATTTTTTCTATTTTTTTACTTTAAATTTTTATTGTTATGTTAATCACCATACATTACATCATCAGTTTTTGAGGTAGTGTTCCATGATTCATTGTTTGTGCATAACACCCAGTGCTCCACGCAGAACGTGCCCTCTTTAATACCCATCACCAGGCTAACCCATCGCCCCACCCCCCTCCCCTCTAGAACCCTGTTTGTTTTTCAGAGTCCATCGTCTCTCATGGTTCATCTCCCCCTCCGACTTACTCCCCTTCATTCTTCCCCTCCTGCTATCTTCTTCTTTTTTTTTCCTTAACATATATTGCATTATTTGTTTCAGAGGTACAGATCTGTGACAAGAGAGATATAGTGAGAGAGGGAACACAAGCAGGGGGAGTGGGAGAGGGAGAAGCAGGCTTCCCGACGAGCAGGGAGCCCGATGCGGGGCTTGATCCCAGGACCCTGGGATCATGACCTGAGCCGAAGGCAGATGCTTAACCGACTGAGCCACTCAGGCGCCCCCCATCTAGTAAAGTAATTCTTTATATGCTATCCTCCCATGGCAGAAAGTCCTGCTAAATAGATCTTGCCACACTGTGGTTTATACAATTATTTACATGCACCTCATCTCAGCTACTCCTGTGACTTCTTTGGAAAAAAAAATACACCTCCTTTTAATTTGTTTTAATTAATGAAAGTAATTACCTATAATTTCATTTACTCATAAATTACTTAGAATTATGACCTATTGAAAAATAGAGGGGCGCTTGGGTGGCTCAGTCGGTTAAGTGTCTTCCTTCGGCTCAGGTCATGATCCCGGGGTCCTGGGATTGAGTCCCACATCAGGCTCCTTGCTCAGCGGAGAGTTGGCTTCTCCCTCTGCCCCCGCCCCCCCGCCGGCTCATTCTCTCTCTCTCTGAAAAATAAATAAATAAAACCTTAAAAAAAAAAAGAAAAAAATGGAAATGTTTTAGAAGCTGGTGTGGGGGGAATCCCAATATCCAGAGGCAACCACTCTTTCAGAATATTTCATTATTTAGGCTGTACATTGTTCGTGCTTTTCTTCTGTACACATGTCAGGGTTTTTAGTTGAATAGAAACTGACTCTGGCTCATTTAAGCAGATAATATTTTAGTAGGAAGATAACCTATCACTTACAAAATATGGCACATTTTGTTTCTACCTTCCATGTTTTAAATAACACTGCCAAGAACATCTTTGTGCACAAATTCTCATCTGTTCTTTGAATTATTTCCATAGGACTGAACTCTAGGAGGGACTAAAGGTGAATCCTTTTAGGTCATGAGATCCCGATTTTGGGGTCCTGAAGTTTGATTAAGTTCTTGGATAGCTAGTAGAAGTCTGAAGTAATGTTTATGAAGGAAAATGAGTGACAAACCTCTTTCATGTCTAAGACACATATAACGTCAGACCTACCAACTGCTCTTTGTCCAAGTCATGGCTATTACTGCAGCCAAGTGAAGAGGTCTGATGTCACTTGCAACTTGGACAGTTGGAGGAGGGGCATCCATGTGCAGCCACTACCACACTAACCAACTGCGTGTTGGTGCTGAATGCAGCCATTGAGACAAAGTGGCTGAGGCCTACCTTCTACTCAATCCTTCTCCTCTGAGAAGGTCCCTGCCCTTCTTATAGAGAAATGTGCCCCTCCTTCCCCAGCACCCATCATGGTTCACCTGTCATAGAAAAAGCACGCAACGTGGCCCACTGCCCTGGGTATCTTGCTATGGTGTTCACAGGCCTGCCTCCTCCTCACACCATAACCCAGCCAAGGACAGAGAGTCCATCTGAGTCATCTTTTTTCTCTGCTCGCTCATTACCCTCTTTCTCCCAGGGGAATGTAAGCTCTGTGAGGACAGGCACTTCTGTCTGGATTTTTTCTGGGTGTTTGCTCAGTTCCCATAACAACACCTGGCCCATGACACAGACAGTAAATACGATGATTAACCTGAGTTGAAGAATAGCCAAAGCCATAGAGATTTGAGAGCCTTAGTGTGATTGTTTTTCTCTCTGAACACATCAGGATTTGTGTCACAGCTCTGGCCCTGGCTTGCAAAGCATCTTAGCCTTTTTTTTTTTTTTTTTTTTGTCTTCCTGGCTCTCCAATTAGCTCCTCTACTGAGCACATTATTAGACGTTCTTTTATCCATCTTTCTATTTTTCATTAATTGATAGCCACATTACTCAGGCATCTATTAATTACTTCATATGAGGGATTTTTCCCAATAAACACTGAGGTTATACATTTTCCTACTGCTTCATAATATAAATGAGAAAATGATGTCAGTTGCAGCTAAGGGTACATGTACTAGAATTGGGGAACCCAAATTCAACTCATGCGTTTGGAATTATATTTATTCAGACCCTAATTTGATTGGTTTTCCGTCTCTCTTCTAATTTCCCTCATAAGTTGCTGGACTTTCTCACATAGAGATACAATGAAATAGATTATTCTGGTGACATCTGAATTTGGTCATTGTCCTGGAGTCTTATTTTCAAGCCAGTGGCTTATGAAGTTGTTCGGTTCCAGGCCATTGGATAGTATCACAGCATTTTAGAACATCCAGGGATTGTGGAACTTTGTTCCCCTGCAAGTATAGAAGGGTGAGGAGAGTTAAAAGTGTCAACCTCAACCATTCCAGTTTCCTTCCTTATAGTTGTTTATGCGTCCATGCAAAACTTCATTTCAGTGAAGTATTTTGAAACATATATATTTATGAATACGTGTGTGAACATATGTGTGTATACAAATATATACATTCATCTATGCACACATATGCACACACAGGAAAACCTCTGATGTAGTTCCACCGTGTGGCAGATGTTACAAAATACAGAGTATTACTCTTTCCTGGCCCCTTGAAGTCAGGCTTGGCCCTTGGATTCAAGGTGGCCATTGAAATAAGAGTAGAGGTGGGTTTGTGTCACTTGCAGGCAGAAGCACTGAAGAGGTAGTGCTAGATTCTCCAGAAGCAGGTGCTGATATGGGGCTGCCCTAGATTGAAGCAGCCTACACCAGGAGTCCATCTCTGAGAGTTCCCACACCCAGAGCAGACTTGATTTGAGCAAAAAATACCCTTGCTGTGTTAAGACACAGAGATTTTGTTACTGTCGCAAAACCTCCTGCTTCCTCGCCACTGTAAACCCCTGCATATGAGGCCAAGAGAGAAGACATTGAAAAGACCCAGCCATGACCCAAGGTCACCATAGGAAACAAGGCTATGGGTGGAATCTAGGACTCCCCCTGACCCCCGGCCTTGAGTTTCTCTCCCTGCAGCACCCTGTACTCTTTTGCTTCCTTACTACACTGGAAACACCCCCATGAAATCAGGAAAAGCTAGAGGGTGAATCATAAAGCAGTTTTGTACACAAGTTTAAAAACATAAATTGTTTTACTCTCTTGCAAAATCTTCCCTACTTTACCTGTCCAACCAGAGATGGATGGGATGGCGAGAAGTCTCAGTAACTTGCAACATTAAGTTTCGTCACAAATAATCATTCTTGCAAATAATCCAACATGCCTGAGGCTTGAATAGGCTCCGGGGTACCTGAAACTATCACCAAAAGCAGTGAAAGACGTATATAAAGGTGTTTTTTCAAATCCCAAATTATTCACCAATATTACTGAAATATGAAAGTGAGTACTTAATAAAATTGTCAACACTTTGAAAGGGCTATGAAATATCCTTACTACACCTCATTTTTATGTCTGCTCACAGAGCAGGTTTCCCTGTTCTCTCCCCTGCAGGTCTGCATAAAGCAGACAAGATCCATCTTTCATTCCCTTAGAACCCTGGGATTCATGGGATCCCAGACACCTAGACACACATTCTGAAGCAGTGGCTGCCAGACCCAGCCCTGGAAGGAGAGAAGTAGACCAAAAAAGGATGTATTGCTGGATATATTGTGTGTTTTTTCCCTGATAGGTAGGTAGCCAAAAATTTTTAAAAGCTTTCTCCACTTAGACAAGTTTAGAAAGTATCTGTGGCTTCTAGAGCCTAGAAATAGGAGAATTATTATGTCTTTATTCTAAAGATTTTTAAGACAGTGATAGAACCACTAGAATAGCTCAGCGAAACTAGGTGAAAATGATCCCCTTTTTGAATGAATCACAGAGGTACAAAGGGTTGAATGATCCCTAACTCTGACCCTTAATTGCCAAGGGAGGCCTAATGTGAACATGAAGCCTTGAGTGATGGCCGTATCAGCCCTCGCAGGCCCGGCACAGAGCTGGGAGCACCTCTGTGGGGCATAGAGTTCAGGGTACACACTGGCCCTGTGGAGAGAGGATGGAGGAAGCAGGGTGCCCTGGTAATAATCACTGTGCTGCACCAGACACAGGCCAGGGCTGTCCGGGCAAGTGATGGGTTGCAAACACAGTGCCAGACAGATCTGGGCAGGTAACACACTGGTCAGTTGGGGTCTCTGGCCAACAGGGGCTGCCCATCTAAATAAGGCACCTGTCGCTTCCTTCCAGACAACCGTTCCCCTGCATGAATCTCACCTAGAGCTGCCAAATCTTCCTATTTTTTTTTTAAAAGAAATCAATATTTGTGTGGGTACTTTTCAATTTCCAAATGTTGCCCACAAATTGAAAAACTCAAGATATCACAAAGACCAAACGGAGCTTCCTAATTTTAGCCAGGAGGTCACCAGTATTTGACCTCTTTTTTAGGAGCAGAGGCCATAGTTGTGGCATGGATGCAGCAAAGGACCCTGGAAACAAGGTAAATCTGTGACTCACATGTGCTTTTGCACCAGAGAGTAAAGAACCGGAAGGCGTATGAAGTTCCAAAATTAATGAATTAATCTCTTAATTAAAAATGGTAATGGATGAAACACCACCCTTTTTCTACCAGCTCAAAGGGCAGCGTGGAGGCTCCCTGGGCTCTGGTTTCCCCTGATTCACTGCCCTGGTAGCTAGGCCTCTTGCCTGGGAACTGAAATGTCAGCTGTGGTCCTTGCCCACGGAGGCTCCACAGTGCCCACCCTGCTGTGGCCAAGACTGACACTGGGAAATGGCAGAAACAGCAGGAGGGAAGAAGAGCAGCCAGGTGGAAATCTCCTAAGCACAGCGCAGCTCCGGACGGCTGGCCATCCTGCCAGCCCAATGCCAGGTCTCCAGACAGCTGGGTGGTCGGGGACAAAGGTGCAAGGAGGGGGCACAAACCTGCCACTTCCCCTTGGGTCACCCAGACCTCCCCTTCCAGCTGGCAGGGCTACCCTCCCATACCCTGGAGGCTGCTGTCCAACTGGGGAAGGCCACTTTGGGCCTGGCTGCAGAGATTTAGCAGCAGCTGTCTGCCAGGGGGTGACAGTGGGCCAAGTTTGTGGGCTAGGCCTCTGGCCTTCCCACTGCCCTGTCCACGCACCTGGGGACCAGCTGACACTAGGGCTGTAACCTCCAGGTGACCTTCAGAAGAACCTGGGCAGGCAGGAGGGGCTAGAGCTGAGAAGTAGGATGTGGGTACCCTGGGCCCCTCTTCCCCAAACGGGCACCCCAGCTGCAAGGCCCCAGTCACTCCCCTATATCCATTGATCATGAGGGCCCAGAGCCGGTGCTTTTAAACACCGTGAAAGAGCTAAATTTAAAAATCTCAGGAAACCCCAAGGAGGGCCTGCTCATCCAGACTGTGTCAGGAGAAGGAACAGAAAGTTCCACTACCGTTCCTGTTCCCTTGGGCTTGTCATCAGTGTCCTGCACACGGTCCCTTCCACAGCTGCCTTGCAGAGGGGAGGGGGTAGAGAAGTGGGAGTGGGGGGCTCGGGGGGAAGACCAGCACAGCAGAAGCGCAAATTCAAAAATCTTCATTTACCCCAGACTCTTTCCTCGTGTTGTAATTCCAGCGTTCCGAACATTAATAAACAGACATTTGTTTTAAAAAATAACAGAATATAGCTCCAAGTAAATCTCACTTTGCTTTCTCTAAAATCTGATTTCCTTTCAAGACTCTTTCGGCTGTTGGGCTGGTTTTAGCCATCAAACTAATTGGAGCTTAGTTTTCATCACAGTGGAGTGAGCAGGAATGAAACCTTATCCTTTAATCATGAAGGAAAATCTTGTCTGGAAGTTGTCTTTGTCTTCTCGGTATGCTCCCTGGCTGCCCAGCAGACTTTCTCTACATCACATCAGCCAGTGCCTCCCCACACTGTTGCCCCCCCAAAAACGAGGGTTGTTAGCAAGGAAGAAGAGAGGAAATAATGTTAGGTCAATCAACATGACTGAGCACTTCACTCATTCATGTATTCATACATGAATAAATATTTTTTGAGCACTTATTAAGTTCCGAGCCCTGTGCTAGGCCTTTGGAACACATGAGTAAACAAAGGAGGCAAAGACATCTGACCTCTCAAGGAGCTTACATTCTTGGAAGGGTGAGGGCAATTTTTAAAATGAATCCTTATGGTTAGTTTTAGAAGTTGACAAATGCTTTTGAGGAGGAGGATAGAGAATGATGGGGGACTAGGGGTCAGGTTGCAGTTAGATACTAGTTAATCTGGGAAGGACTTCCCAAGAAGGGGCAGTTGATCAAAGACCTAAATGTATAAGGGAGCAAGCCATGAGTCTATGGCGGGAGCGGGGGGGGGAGCATTCCAGGCAAATGGAACAGCCAGTGCAAAGACCTTGGGGTGGGAATGGCCCCTACTCGGTTGTGAAACATGAAGGCCAGGATTGATGGAAAGTAGTGAGACCCTGGAGAGAGTAGCAAAGGGGAGCCAGAGCAGGATCTAGAAGCCCACTGTGCATTATAAGGCCACTGTTAAGAACTGGCTTACACTGTGACGGAGAAGTGAAGGAAGGGTTCTAGGCAGGGGAGTTACATGATCTGACTTGTGCTTTCCTGGGATCGTTCTGGCTGCTTCATTAAGAACCAGCTGCAGAGGACAAGGGTATAAGGCCAGAGACCAATACTGAGGCTATTGCAATAATCTAGGCAAAAGATAATTGACTGCTTCAACCAAGGTAGCAACATTCTGCAACACATTAAAAAACTAGAGAGCTACAATACAAAAAAGGAAGGAAGGAAGGAAGGAAGGAAGGAAGGAAGGAAGGAAGGAAGTCAGAAATTTCTCTTCCCAGTGTGTGCATCCCTTGCTGCTAATGAAGTGCAGAAGCCAGAAATTGAAACAGCAGTGGGCTTTTTTATTCTCATTTTCTCTCATCTAATACCAGCCTTAATTATGTCCTATTAAAGTCAATTCTTGAGCTACAAGGCAACCATCTATGAACTTATATATTTCCTTCCCCTCTGGTTTGCAGAGCTCCTGATCAATGAACACATTCCATGCAAACAAGTAGAAATGTGAGGGCCTCAGTATGATACTTTGTTTCAGGATAAAGTTACTGAATTAAAAATAAGTGGTGAATGATCATGTTTTCCTTTTTGGTTTTAATAACCAAGGCTTAATCCAAGAAACCTGCTTTCATAGATGTTTTTGTTCAGTAATCATCTGTTATCATCCCTACTGAAAGATGTAGCTTTGGATGACTGGGTAGACTTTGGAAAGACGAAATGAAGGAGGGAGCAGATGGTGAATGGGACCAGTTGGGAGAAAAAGGAGGTGAATGGGGAGTAAAAGATCCACAGATGGTAGCATCGGTGACCCAGGAGCAGGGCACAAAAGAGGACAGAATGAGCTAACGCTTTTCCAGCCACATCTGCTGACCCTGCCAGACTCACAGCTGTCCTTTCTTGTCCACAGGGTTTTTGGTTGACCCAGGGTGCAGATCACAATTTTGGTGCCACCTCTGGGGAGGAACACGGGCAGGTCAGGGCACCCCCTGTAGAGGAAACGTCTTGTGCAGGTAAGCGCAGTTTACTGAAATTCTATAAATCATAGTGAGGTTGGTAATGCTACAGCATCAAACATGTACATCTGTACACTTGCTTTCATCCTTTCCCCAAGTTCACTCTCTCTGACACCCATGCCCCACCCATTCTGTCATCATTCTATCCTGCATTTTCTTTTCTGTCATTACAGCATAGACTCACCCTTCAATTGACTAGAGTGATCATCTTAACTCTACTAACCCTCACAATAATGTATTCTATGTAATTGCCATTAACCCAAATGTAAAAGGTGATACTGTCATTAAATTGCAGACATTTTTAACTAGAACATCTCATTTTGCAAATGGGTAAACAGAGGCCATAAATGACTCTACAAAGGCCACAAAGTGATTTGGGGACAGAAGGCAGGATGACACAAAGTGGATTCCTTAGTATCACTCATTAGGAGCTCTTAGCTTTTAACTTTTCAGTGAGGCACATTTTCTGAACATCTTTTTAAATCTCAGATTTATTATTGTTTTCTCCGGAGCAATGCCGCTGGTTCCTCGTAGCCCCTCCCCTTCCCACCATGTCGAGATAAGTGATTTCATTTAAAGATTTTTCAGCTCTCCTCCGTGACAGAAGAAATGAGAGTGAAAAGACACTACGAAAATTTTTGTCCATTGTCCAAAACAAAAATCTTACCAGTCACAGCCCCACTACTGTAACATAATTATGTTCGTTGTTACATATCTTACTTTTTCTTTTGCCATACAATAACCAATTTTTACTTAGTTGAAGTCATAATGAGTCGGCTATTTTATATTCAGACAATCTTACTTACCAGTGAATCACAGGCCTTTTTCTATTCTGTGTAATTATCATTTCAAGCACTTGCTTCTGATTAATGCAGGTTAATTTTGGAACACATATGGAAACTACTGAAATTTGTTGAAGAGTATCAGCTATAAACTCACTGCCCTCGGAATAACAGATGCATTTTCCCAGTCTTCATACGCATACTTTGTATTTAAAGAGTTGGAGTTGATGCCCTATAAGCTGGTTTCTATTTGCTCCCTGCCCCCGCTTCGTTCAACGCGAGGTGGAGACAAGGACGCGAGCCTCAGTTTCCCCAGAGGTGAAACGTCACGCCAGGGGCGGGAACCAGGCGAGGGCTCCGCAAGGACCGCGGCGGGCGGGAAGTCACGAGTGACCGGGACAGCTTTCAGCCCCCGCGGTGCGTCCGCCTTCCTGCCGCACCGTTTCCCGCAGCGCGCTGTAGGCCCGGGGGCCGCCAGAGGGCGCTGTGGCCCCGGTGCGCGGCTGCAGCGGCGCGGGGCGGACTCTCCCCGGGCTGCCCGGGCGCCGCCCTGTCCCAGCCTCCTGTGCGGGTAAACAGACATGGCCGGCGAGAGAGATCCGCAGGACGCTGCGCACAACATGGGCAACCACCTGCCGCTCCTCCCTGGTAACCTCCCGGGGCCGGTCCCCGGCGGCGGGACGGGGCGAGGCTCGAGCCCTGAGCGGCGCGGCAGGGCTAGGGAGACGGGCGGGGGGGCACCGAGGCCTGCCGGGGTGCCCCGGGAAGCGGCCGCGCGTCAGGCCTCTGGCCCGCGACCGAGTCCCGGCGCATCTCTCTCCTGCCGGGTCGCCCCAAGCTTAGGGCGAGGGTTTTGGATCGGGGAGGGGTCTGCACGCAAGGGCAGAGACCCTTCCCTCTCCGTCCATTGGGTGTCCAGAACTTGGCTCCAAGGAAAAGGCTTAAAATTGAGGGCGAAGGAGGGAGGGGATGTGGTGGACCCGAACAGGTTAGCAGCCGTTACTTTTTTGGACTTCTTCCGTTTGATAAGAGTGACAGCTAACAAGTATTAAGCACTTACCATGTCAGCGGCCCTGCGGTAAGCGCTTTGCATGCGTTTCTCTGTTTAATCCTCCCCACATAACTTTTCTGATTCCGATTTGGTAGGTGAGAAATGGATTAGCGGATTAGTTCAGTGACTCGCCCAAGGTGACACAGTTGCAGAGCCGGAACTTCAGTTCTGGTCTTTCTGTCAGCATAGCCAATGTCCCTTAACCATTTCACTGCCAAGGCAGTATGGGTATGTTTTTCTCGAGGCATGTAGCTCAAGCAGGTAGTAGAATATGCTTGATTAGAGAGACTTAGGAATGTGATGTTGAATTCAGTTTTCTTTTTTTCCTTTATATTTCACGAAAATTTAGACCTTGGTTTTATATTAGAATCCTGGGCAGAAGAAAATGCATGAATTAATTGTACAAAATTGCCATGGAAGGCTATAGCAGTGATGCTTTTCAAGAGGTTATCAGACAAACGGGCTGTTAGCTGAGTTCCTTCACTGTGTGCCAGTTAGATGGCACACTTACTGTGGACTTGAAAAGAGATATGATACACAGTCTGGTACTTGAGAAGGTTTATAATCTCTATGAAGCAAAAGGTAGTTGATTTAGGACCTGATAAGTTAATGCTATTATTGTTCTAAAGAGGGATTGAGGTAAAGCATTGTGAAATGGATCTGGAGACATCCAAAAGCATACACTTAGGATGGGGTTGTGGAAGAGAAGACCTAGGAGGTAGGTTGAGTCTAATTTGTTGGGGAGCTTGCATCTCTTGCCAGTGGGTTGGGGCTTTTTTCTGTGGGTTGCCAAGAAACATTTGTGGGTTACAGGGAGTTGCCCAAGGAAAGCTTTTCTTGAAGGATTAATTTGTCCCCTGGGAGTTGTATGGATTGAAGGAGAAGACTGAATGCATGCCCACCATATAGAAAGGACCTTTTATGTAAAAATAAACCAGAGTCAGAGTCGGTGGTTGTTCCTGAAGCCAACCTAGCTGAATTGACATAAAGGTAAGTGTGTCAGCCTTTGACTGAAGAGCCGAGCTGTTTATTTCAGAGACATCAGCCCCACTCTGAACATGCCAAATCCAGTGTTTCAGGGAGGTTACTGATGTTCTGTTGGCATTCATGTGGTGCTCCTGCATGAGATGAGTCATCAAACTTCACCCTGGTAGTTCTGAACACAGTGTGTGTTTTGTTGAAAAGAATCAGGAGTGAGGGGGTGTCTGGGTGGCTCAGTTGGTTAAGCAACCAACTCTTGATTTCTGCTTGGGTCATGATCTCAGGGTCCTGGGTCAAGCCCCCACATCAGTCAGCTGCACACTCAGCGAGGAGTCCTCTTGAAGATTCTCTCCCTCTTCCCCCCGCCCCCCGCTCGCATGCGCGTGTGCTCTTTCTCTCTCAAATAAATAAATCTTTAAAAAAGAAAAAAAAAATCCAGGAGTGAGAAGGCCCAGAGAGGTTGTAATATAATAATAAAGCTTTTCTAAATCATATGAGTTTTATTTGTAAAGAAACATTGGATCATCCATAAGCCCATGTAGTATGAGTTGTTTTGAAGAGCAATACTCTTTAAGTGATAAGGAAATAGTTCAGTAATTAAGATGCAAAGAATCCATCTTGGCCAAAGGAAACATTAGTAAACAACCAAGTAGAGGGAAGTGGGTTTTGGCCATATTTATGAGAAAGGCTACTGTATATAAGGAAACTGGTTGAGATTTTTTTGTTGTCGTTTTTACTTTTGGTGAAACTTCTCTGTTCTTAGCAAAAATATGTATGAAGTGTTAGACCACTGACCATTCAAATATAAGTTGAAATAATTATGTTACTCTTTTTGACCAATCCCTATATCTAGGAATTCCTGAGAATTAGTAGAAAGTCCAAGGCAAATACTATATTGAAAAATATTTGTTTTTTTCTTGTCAGGAACCTAGCTGGAGGTAATTTGATTTAAATAGTGACATACACAAAATAAAATGACAATTTTGTAATTACATTTTATCTGTTTAGAAGTGTATTGGGGGCATTTAAAAGTACATGAAATAATGAAGTCAAAAATGAGATTCAGTTTGTCCAGGCCAGGATTTCTTAACCTCAACACTTTTGATTTTGAGGGGCTGGAAAATTCTTTGTTGTGGGGGACTATCCTGCAGGATGCATCCTTGTAGGATGTTTAGCAGCATCTCTGGCCTCTGCCCACTAGATGCCAGTAGGGCTCTCCTAGTTGTGACAACCATATATTTCCAGACATTTCCAAATATCCCTTGAGGGGCAAAATCACCTCTGGTTGCAAACTGCTGATCTAGGGTTGGAATTTTACCCACAGCAGGCGTCAACAGGACAGACTCCCATTTAGTAGAATAGCACCTATTTGGTATAGCTTTTTCTATTATTAACATCAAGGTTTTAAAGTAGATCAGCTTAGTTTTCATAATTTAAAAAGTGTGTTTGAGGGAAGTTTTAAGACATTAGCTTTAAAATATGTTTTATGTTCCCTGTGAACTTTGTTTTTAAATTTAAAATTCCAAAGCAAAATTGGAATGAAAATGATTACAGACATTTCATTTTTCAATAGTATAATGACAGCCAAGGAAGTGATGTCCCTGCTATGAAAATGTTTTTGCTGGGTAATAATGTTAACTTTTTCTATTTTAATTAAAGGGCCTTCCTGACTGCCTGCCTGCCTTCCTTCCTTCCTTCCCTCCCTCCCTTCCTCCCTTCTTCCTGTCTTCTGTAAGAACTCTTTAAAGTTTGAAAGAAACTTAGAGATTATCTTGTTCCTGCCTGTCATTTTTCAGATGTGGAAATTAAGGCATAATCAGGTGAAATGAGTTGTCTAAGGTCCCTAAGTTGTTTACTACTGGCAAGAGAGAAGAAACAAATCTCACACACTGAAGAATTTAAATAATTTATGTAGATACTTCCTCTTCAAGGACAAGGGAACATAATCCCTCACCTCTTAAGTGTGTGTTGTGCTCCTTAATTGGCTTCCAGATAGTACAATGTGGAAAGGAGGAAAAGAGTAACTTTACAGTAGAGAAACCTTTCAAAGACTACCTCAGGCGGGTGATTATGGTCAGCATCAACAGTGATAAGTCATATTGATAGTATGCACCCTTGATATGATGTGATGAACACAGCCCTTAACCCCTTGTGGTCTTCTCCCCAAAGTACATAACCTCAGCGTAATCATGAGAAATATATCAAATTCTAATTGAGGGACACTCTACAGAATGCCTAACTAGTACTCCTCACAACTGTCAAGGCCATCAAAAACAAGGAAAGTTTGAGAAACCAGCCCCAAGGAGGCTAAAGAGATATGACAACTAAATGTTGTGTGCTAGCCTGGATGGGATCCTGAAACAGAAAAAGCATAGTAGGTGAAAATAAGAAAATCCAAGTAAAATGTGGAGTTTAGTTAATAGTAATGTGCCAACACTGATTGCTTAGACAGATACTAATACTACATACTACATACTAATAGATACTCCATCCTAATAGAAGATGTTAGGTATAGGGGAAAGTGGAGGGGAGATCTACAGGAAAAGGAAACCTCTGTACTGTCTTTGCAATCTTTATGTAAATCTTAAACTATTCCGCAAAAAAAAAAAAAGTGGTTAGTGGCAGAACAGCATAGACCCCAGCCCTCTGGCTGCCTCTTCACAGGATGTAGAGATCACCACATGCGAGTAGTGTTTAGAAGAAGCCCTCTTCTCATGGGCTCAGGATCCTCGTGAAGGAATTACACATTCGAAGGGGAACGTCACTTTGACATTTTCTTGCATCCATTTTTTTTCTCATAATCTTCTACTTTTACAGCAGAGAGTGAGGAAGAAGATGAAATTGAAATGGAAGTTGAAGACCAGGATAGCAAAGAAGCCAAAAAACCAAACGTCATAAATTTTGACACCAGTCTGCCAACGTCACATACAGTATGTAATGTAGTAACAGATCTTACACAAGGGATAGACACGTAACAGTAGATGGAGGTTCCTTATAGTAAGACCGAGGTTGACCTTATTGGATATTACCTCACAGTAGGAATTGTGGATGAGAACATGGGCTATTTGCCAGTAGATACACATTCTTAACTAATTTTCAAGTGGTTCAATACTATATCCTGGAATAATTCTTTGAAGAACTGTGACCCTTTGTATGTTTCTACTAATAATGGAGCTACTAAAGTACTTCTTACTCTCCTCGCTACTTGGTACCAGGGTGTTAGTTAACATGCTGACATCTTATAGTTGTCATTTGTGATATGTGACCATAGAGATGTTTCTTATCTTAGTCAAAGAAAAATATTTTGAACTAAAAAATGCTCTTGAATTTGTGAGACATTCTTCACAAATAATAGAACTTCCACTCCTAAGAATCAGAATTAGATTTTCATGTGGGAGGCTGATACACCTACTTTATTATTTAAATAAATATTTGTATCATCTGTTTATATTTCTTTTAATCTGATTTACTCTTTAGTCTTTTGAGTTTGTATTTTTATTATGTATCTAAAATGACACTGTATCTGTGTATGTTCTTAAATAGTATCTGGGCGCTGATATGGAAGAATTTCATGGCAGGACTTTGCATGATGACGACAGCTGTCAGGTTATTCCAGTTCTGCCACAGGTGATGATGATCCTGATTCCTGGGCAGACCTTACCTCTTCAGCTTTTTCGTCCTCAGGAAGTCAGTATGGTGCGGAATTTAATTCAGAAAGACAGAACCTTTGCAGTTCTTGCATACAGGTAAAATATTAGAATGAATTTGCTTAACACATTCTCTCTCATAGCAGAGTCACAGCAGAGGTCAGTGTTAAAGCCAAACCTGACTGTTATTTTGCATGCACAGGAGACTGGATAAGGATGTGAGGTAAGAAATTTTGATGAAAGATTGAAAGTGCAAGTTGGAGTATTTTTATTGTTCTCATTACCATCCAGATCAGACATTTACTGTCACACGCAAACTTTCTGGTATTTGAAATTTTTTTAGTCGTTAGTGTCTAATAAAAATTTCTAGGATCTTATTTTCAAGCACTGTCCTTATTTAAAGAGAAAGAGGGCTCTTACATTTTAAAGGATTATTTTTACAAAGGAGTAGCTTGTTCTTTTGTCTGTCTCTCAGAATTCATAAGTTGAATATAGACCAGTGCCATACTGGTATTTCAGGTATCCTGTGGCAACTGAAGGATATCAGTGGTAGAGGCAGGAAGTGAATACAGGGATTTCCCACCCCAGTATAATGTTGCTAATATTAAGCAGCAGAAATGATAGTCTACTGAAGTAAAAGAATGTCTCATTTGGAAAATGAGAGTTTAAACCCTTATCGGTCCTAGATCCTTTTCAGTGACTAGAGATCTAGTATTTTCCTAAAGTGCTCTAATTGTAATTCTTTTTTTTCTTTTTTGCTCTGATTGTCATTCTGAAGCCTTCTATATCTGCATTCCCCATGTGATTTCAAAATAAAATGATAATAGCTTTGCAATAAGGGCTAACTGCTGTAATTTTTTTTTGATCGTGTGTATTGCTTTGCCACTTTGCACATTTAAAATTTTTTTTGCCAACTTTGCATATTTAAAAATTAAAATGTTCAAAGTTATTTTCTTTTAAAATTTATCTTGGAAGTAATATACAGGAGAGGGAAGCACAGTTTGGAACAACAGCAGAGATATATGCCTATCGAGAAGAACAGGATTTTGGAATCGAGATAGTGAAAGTGAAAGCCATTGGAAGACAAAGGTTCAAAGTCCTTGAGCTAAGAACACAGTCAGATGGGTAAGAAATACCATAGATCTTAAAGCTGTGTGTATGTACATCATTAAATGAGGTGGTTTTCTTATATTTTTCCTGTTGTACTGCCCTTCACATTTTGTAACTTTGAGTTAGTTGTTCTCTTTCCTTTGAACGTATAACCTACTGGTTTCCAACCCGGCTATGCATCAGAACCACTTAGGAAGTTTTAAAACTAAAGATGCTTGAGTTTCATCCTCATCTCCCATCCGTAAGAGTGGTTTAACCTTGGGTGAGGCTGCAGCATCTCTTTTCATGATTTCCAGATGATTCTCATGCCCCTGCATGTTTGAGATTAGTAATATAAACCCAAAGTGCATTGTCTTTGGGGACAGGGATTCTTTGGGATTGAAGGCCTCTCTTGAGAGTGGAGAGACCACAAGCTTCAGAGCTATCTGTGTGTACGCCGGGACAGCTGTGGTGGTTGCAGCATTCCTGTGATATTTGAAAACCTGTTATACCTACCAGCTGCTCCATCCGAGCTGCAGAAACCATTTGCAGTTAGCACTGATCTCCGGTGTGAATTTCACATCACCCACAAATGTATTAACTATATAATAAGTGATCAATAAATGCTTGTTGTCTCTATACCTTATAAAGTTTGGCAATTCTCTGAGTATATTGTTTTAACAGTTATTTTGGCATGGCTCTCATGATTCGAGCTTTTTAAGTACCACTGACCTCATCAAAAAAAAAAAAATCCATTTCACCTTCATCCTTTTAAAAACAAAGCAAAACAGAATAAGCATTTGTCCAGATGATTGCCTATTACCTGTTAAGGGAGTGGTTCTCAACTCTGGCACATAAGAATCACCTGTGAAGTGTTACAAGGATACACATTCTTGGGGTTCACCCAGTCCTAGTGAAGTGGTCTCTTTATAGCCAAGCTGAAAATGTTATCTGACCTCTGTGTTGAACAGATAATATCTTCTGAACACATGGAACTTCAGAAGTTTTGTCTTGTTTTGTTCACATGGTGGACATTCACAAATACCACTGAAAATATGGAAGTATAATGGACAGGTGAGGCAACCGTTTGGGGCTAGAGAAAGTATAGAAAAATGAGGGATGAGGTGCCAGAGCCCTCAGTGGTACCCCCAGAACATTCATGATGCAGACTCTCGTGGTGTTAACACACCGTACTGTCGTTACAGGATTGTGTATCTGTCTCCCTCAGTAGATGAGCTGCCTGAGGACAATGACTAACACTTCTACATGTTCTACACTTAATAACTATAAATGCCATGTGAATGAATGAAAACAATGTCCTCTTGAGGGCTATGCATTCTGATAATTAGCAAGCTGTTTTGTTACTGCAGATTTTACTAACAGTTCCATATTTAAAGCGCTTCTTATTCTCCTGCTTATAAAATTTTTATTATTTGTGAATAGCATGTTATAGGAACCAAAGAAGAAAAATGATTTGGGAGAAAAGTATGTTTCTGAGGCTTTCTTGACTTTTGATTGTGGAAAAACTATTTTCAACACAAGATGGCAGTAGACCGTTAACTCTGAAAACGGGTCAAAGACTATGTTTGACTCTAGTGAAGATAAACGTGGAACTGATAGGGTTAGACAAGACTTGGCAAGGGCACGTTCTCTTTATTATTCCATAGACCCACTGCTAAGACCTCTCACAGAGGTGAGTCTTTCTTCCTATAAAAGGCTTCCATGGAGTGAGATTTCTGTGGTTGCCTTGCCCCTCTGGCCTGTAACTCCCTTCAGTAGAAATGGTGAGATGGAGATAATACAGGGCAATTTCCTCTTTTTCCAAATACGACAACTAAATACTAGAGAGATGAAGTGATTTGCCTACAGTGATGCAGCTAGTAAGCAACAGGTGGTTGGTTCTAGGTCCCCTGACTTCCAAACTGGTGCTCCTCGTACTCTACCTGAACTCCTCCATAGCACCTTGAAACTCAAGCCAGTTTCCTTTTCTCCAGTCAGGTAGTGCTGGATAATAGTCATCTGTCTTTTACGTGAATGACGCTTCATTTAAAAACTATGGTGCTGCCTTCTGACCTTTTCTAAGTTAAGAGTCTTTATTTCTTTGGCATTTTCTGAACACATGGAAGGTTTTGTTGTTTTTTTTTTTTTGAAAGGTTAATTAAAAAGTAGAAGTGTGTCATTGAATCACCGTAGAACCCTTCAGAAATAACTGAGGATTTCTTAGCATGTAGAGAGAAAGAGATTAATACCCTATTTGGAATTACAGGACAAGTTCTCTTACCTGTCATAACTGAAACCAATAATCATCTGAATTATTAGAACTGTCTGAACCTAATTTGAAAGCAGTTTTTATTGCTCAACTTTATTCGTTAAAGCCATTTTATTTAAGTCACATTTCATTGGTTTTTATAATACTTACATAAATTTTATAATACATAAATTATAATACTTACATAAATTAAAATAAATTATAATACTTATATAAACGATAATCACAAAACAACTGCTATAAACAGGTTGGGAAGAAACAAAAGTTTTGTTAAAAACAACCCAGCAGGTGGGAGAGCTAGCCCCTGTGTGCAGCAGGCCCCAGGCATGTCTAGCAAAAGTAGCGAAGAGCATTGCTCAGTCCTGAAAGGCAGTTCAGACAGCTGGTACTGCAGACTGATCAGTAAAAGGATCATCAGTAAGCCAATCTTTCAGTGACATTGATGTTTTTATTGTAATACAATAAAATCTTACATGATAGTTGAGTTAAACATCATTCATAATTTAGTTACTGATGACCTTAAAGAAGAATCAGATTTCTAAACATTTCTTTAGAAAGGTACACACTTTTGTTCTAAAAATATGATTGTAAGTATTTGTGTTCGTGTGGACAGGTGAAGAAAATAGAGATTTTATTTGTTTTAAACGAGCTCTAATAATGTAAGAACATTTGAATATAGTTTGAACATGTTTGTTTTTTTAACATTTTCCAAAGTTATGCATACATAAATTTGAGCTTCCAGGAAAGAAATGAAGTTAGTTGAATAAGTCTAACCAAGTTAGCTATTTTTATTTAATAAATAAATAGAAGTATCAAAATTTCATTCCTAACTTTTCGTGGGTCAAGGCAGTAATTAATATGAAAAACCACTTGAGAATTTCTAAACATAATTAATAATTAAGCAGAGACTTTAATACATTGAATTTTGTCAGTCTGACAGTGATTTCTTCCAGCATTTGAATGTACTAATACATTCTACATTTTACAAGCTGTACTCTAGGAGAAATGCTTCAAAAGAAAATAGCTCATACGTACAGTGTTCCTGTTGGCATTTGTTCCTGATAAGATGTTTGCAGTTATGATATTCTCAAGTAGCAATCTGGAAATGGTGACTTCACTCTCATGGGAGTTTAAGTAATTTTTAGGATTAAAAAAAGATAATACACATATTTTGATTCTGCATTTTCAAGTTAAATGTTTGAGAAGGAGAAAAAGAATGCACATACAGATATAGGCTACATGTAATTCTGTAGTCTTATTTTAACTATCCACATAAATAGTTCTTGATTTTCTATTCCTTTCTCTACCTACTCCTCCAGTTAGATTAGACTTAGGAGAAGGGACAGGTGTAGAGCCCGGCAGCAGATGGGGAGCTGCGAGGGATAGGGTATCTAAGAATGTCTAAGAAACTAATTTAGAAGTATCAAGCAGTAGTAGATGGTTGTATATTTATTTTTTTTAATTTTATTTCATTAATAGACTCTATCTGAAATATACAGATCTCCCTTTGCATTTCACAGTGGGACTGAAAATCCATGCTTTAGGTTATCTTTGATTTTAACTTTGGTATGATTTATGAAATACAGATATTCTCAAAATTCTTGCATCTTAACAGTATCTTATGGATGTGTTTAAAAAAGAAAACTGAAAATCTTGGTATTTAAAACTACCCATAATGTTTAGAAACTTAAAGTTTGAGTTAGTTTATTTTAAAAATGAACACCATACTTCATTCTCTTTATTTTAGAATCCAGCAAGCTAAAGTGCAAATTCTTCCTGAATGTGTGTTGCCTTCAACCATGTCTGCAGTTCAGTTAGAATCCCTCAATAAATGCCAGATATTTCCTTCAAAACCTGTCTCATGGGAAGACCAGTATTCATATAAATGGTGGCAGAAATACCAGAAGGTGAGAAACTGATTTTTTTTTTTTTTTGGTGGGAAATAACTTTTTTATTATGTTAATCGCCATACATTAAATCATTAGTTTTTCATAGAGTGTTCCATGATTCATTGTTTGCGTATAACACCCAGTGCTCCATTCAGTATGTGCCCTCTTTAATACCCATCACCAGGCTAACCCATCCCTCCACCACCCTCCCCTCTAGAACCCTCAGTTTGTTTCTCAGAGTCCATCGTCTCTCATGGTTCGTCTCCCCCTCCGATCTCCCCCACTTCATTTTTCCCTTCCTACTATCTTTTTTTTTTTTTTTAACATATAATGTATTATTTGTTTCAGAGGTACAGGTCTGTGATTCAACAGTCTTACACAATTCACAGCGGTCACCATAGCACATACCATCCCCAATGTCTGTCACCCAATCACCCCATCCCTCCCACCCCCACCCACCACTCCAGCAACCCTCAGTTTATTTCCTGAGATTAAGAATTCCTCCTGTCAGTGAGATCATATGATACATGTCTTTCTCTGATTGACTTATTTTGCTCAGCATAACACCCTCCAGTTCTATCCACGTCGTTGCAAATGGCAAGATTTCATTCCTTTTGATGGCTGCATAATATTCTATTGTATATATATATACCACATCTTCTTTATCCATTCATCTGTCAATGGACATCTTGGCTCTTTCCATAGTTTGGCTATTGTGGACATTGCTGCTATAAACATTGGGGTGCATGTACCCCTTCGGATCCCTACATTTGTATCTTTGGGGTAAATACCCAGTAGTGCAGTTGCCGGGTCGTATGGTAGCTCTATTTTCAACTGTTTGAGGACCCTCCATACTGTTTTCCAGAGTGGCTGCACCAGCTTGCATTCCCACCAACAGTGTAGGAGGGTTCCCCTTTCTCCACATCCCCGCCAACATCTGTCATTTCCTGACTTGTTAATTTTAGCCATTCTGACTGATGTGAGGTGGTATCTCATTGAGGTTTTGATTTGGATTTCCCTGATGCCGAGCGATGTTGAGCACTTTTTCAGGTGTCTGTCGGCCATTTGGATGTCTTCTTTGGAAAAATGTCTGTTCATGTCTTCTGCCCACCTTTTGATTGGATCATTTGTTCTTTGGGTGTTGAGTTTGATAAGTTCTTTATAGATTTTGGAGACTAGCCCTTTATCTGATATGTCATTTGCAAGTATCCCAACCTGTTGGTTGTCTTTCGATTTTGTTGACTGTTTCTTTTGCTGTGCAAAAGCTTTTTATCTTGATGAAATCCCAATAGTTCATTTTTGCCCTTGCTTCCCTTGCCTTTGGCGATGTTTCTGGGAAGAAGTTGCTGCGGCTGAGGTTGAAGAGGTTGCTGCCTGTGTTCTCCTTTAGGATTTTGATGGACTCCTCTTTCACATTTAGGTCTTTCAACCATTTGGAGTCTATTTTTGTGTGTGGTGTAAGGAAATGGTCCAGTTTCATTCTTCTGCATGTGGCTGTCCAGTTTTCCCAGCACCATTTGTTGAACAGACTGTCTTTTTTCCATTGGACATTCTTTCCTGCTTTGTCGAAGATGAGTTGACCATAGAGTTGAGGGTCTATTTCTGGGCTCTCGATTCTGTTCCATTGATCTATGTGTCTGTTTTTGTGCCAGTACACTACTGTCTTGATGATGACAGCTTTGTAGTAGAGCTTGAAGTCCGGAATTGTGATGCCATTGGTTTTGCTTTTCTTTTTCAACATTCCACTGGCTATCTGGGGTCTTTTCTGGTTCCATACAAATTTTAGGATTATTTGTTCCATTTCTTTGAAAAAAGTGGATGGTATTTTGATGGGGATTGCATTAAATGTGTAGATTGCTGTAGGTAGCATTGACATCTTCACAATATTTGTTCTTCCCATCCATGAGCATGGGACGTTTTTCCATTTCTTTGTGTCTTCCTCAATTTCTTTCATGAGTATTTTCTAGTTTTTTGAGTACAGATTCTTTGCCTCTTTGGTTAGATTTATTTCTAGGTATCTTATGGTTTGGGGTGCAATTGTAAATGGGATTGACTCCTTAATTTCTCTTTCTTCTGTCTTGGTGGTGGTGGACAGGAATGCCACTGATTTCTGTGCATTGATTTTATATCCTGCCACTTTACTGAATTACTGCATGAGTTCTAGCAGTTTTGGGGTGGAGTCTTTTGGGTTTTCCACATACAGTATCATATCATCTGCAAAGAGTGAGAGTTTGACTTCTTTGCCAGTTTGGATGCCTTTTATTTCTTTTTGTTGTCTGATTCCTAGTTGTTCCTAGTCTGTTGCTAGGATTTCTAGTATTGTGTTGAATAGCAGTGGTGATAGTGGCCTTCCCTGCCGTGTTCCTGACCTTATGGGGAAAGCTCTCAGTTTTTCCCCATCAAGAATGATATTCACTGTGGATTTTTCATAGATGGCTTTTAGGATATTGAGGTATGTATCCTCTATCCCTATACTCTGAAGAGTTTTGATCAAGAAAGGATGCTGTATTTTCTCAAATGCTTTTTCTGCATTTATTTAGAGAATCTTGTGGTTCTTGTTCTCTTATTAGTGTATTGTATCACATTGATTGATTGCGGATGTTGAACCAACCTTGCAGCCCAGGGAAAAATGCCACTTGGTTGTGGTGAATAATCCTTTTAATGTACTGTTGGATCCTATTGGCTAGTATTGTGGTGAGAGTTTTTGCATCCATGTTCATCAAGGATATTGGTCTGTAATTCTTCTTTGTGATGGGTTCTTTGTCTGGTTTTGGGATCAGGGTAATGGTGGCCTCATAAAACGAGTTTGGAAGTTTTCCTTCCATTTCAATTTTTTGGAACAGTTTATGAAAAATAGGTATTAATTCTTCTTTAAATGTTTGGTAGAATTCCCCTGGGAAGCTATCTGGCCCTGGGCTTTTTTTGTTGGGAGATTTTTGATGACTGCTTCAATTTCCTTAGTGGTTATAGGTCTGTTCAAGTTTTCTGTTTCTTCCTGGTTCAGTTTTGGTAGTCGATATATCTCTAGGAATGCATCCATTTCTTCCAGATTATCTAATATGCTGGCATATGGTTGCTCAGAATATGTTCTTATAATTGTTTGTATTTCTTTGGTGTTGGTTATCATCTCTCCTCTTTCATTCATGATTTTATTTATTTGGGTCCTTTCTCTTTTCTTTTTGATAAGTCTGGCCAGGGGCTTATCAATCTTGTTAATTCTTTCAAAGAACCAGCTCCTGGTTTCGTTGATCTGTTCTACTGTTGTTTTGGTTTCTGTGATTTCTGCTCTGATCTTTATTATTTCTCTTCTCTTGCTGGGTTTAGGCTTTATTTGCTGTTCTTTCTCCAGCTCCTTTAGGTGTAGGGTTAGGTTGTGTATTTGAGACCTTTCTTGTTTCTTGAGAAAGGCTTGTATTGCTATATACTTTCCTCTTAGGACTGCCTTTGCTGTATCCCAAAGATTTTGAACAGTTGTGTTTTCATTTTCATTGGTTTCCATGAATTCTTTTAATTCTTTAATTTCCTGGTTGACCCATTCACTCTTTAGTAGGATGCTATTTAGCTTCCATGTATTTGAGTTCTTTCCGACTTTTCTCTTGTGATTGAGTTCTAGTTTCAAAGCACTGTGGTCTGAAAATATGCAGGGAATAATCCCAATCTTTTGGTACTGTTTGAGACTGGATTTGTGACCTAGGATGTCATCTATTCTGGAGAATGTTCCATGGGCACTAGAGAAGAATATGTCTTCTGTTGCTTTGGGATGGAATGCTCTGAATATATCTGTGAAGTCCATTTGGTCCAGTGTGTCATTTAAAGTCTTTATTTTCTTGTTGATCTTTTGCTTAGATGATCTGTCCATTTCAGTCAGAGGGGTGTTAAAGTCCCGCACTGTTATTGTATTGTTGTCAATGTGTTTCTTTGCTCTTGTTATTAATTGGCTTATATAATTGGCTGCTCCCATGGTAGGGGCATCGATATTTACAATTCTTAGATCTTCTTGTTGGAATGACCCTTTAGGTAGGATATAGTGTCCTTCCTCGTCTCTTATTATAGTCTTTGGTTTAAAATCTAATTTGTCTGATATAAGGATTGCCACTCCAGCTTTCTTTTGGTGTCCATTAGCATGGTAATTGGTTTTCCACCCCCTCACTTTCAATCTGGAGGTGTTTTGGGGTCTAAAATGAGTCTCTTGCAGATAGCATATCGCTGGCTCTTGTTTTTTTATCCAATCTGATACCCTGTGTCTTTTGATTGGGTATTTAGCCCATTTACATTCAGGGTAACTATTGAAAGATATGAATTTAGTGCCATTGTATTGCCTGTAAGATTACTGTTACTGTATGTTGTCTGTGTTCCTTTCTGGTCTGTTACTTTTAGGCTCTCTCTTTGCTTAGAGGACCCCTTTCAATATTTCTTGTAGGACTGGTTTTGTGTTTGCAGATTCCTTTAGTTTTTGTTTGTCCTGGAAGCTTTTTATCTCTCCTTCTATTTTCAGTGATAGCCTAGCTGTATTCTTGGCTGCATATTTTTCTCATTCAGTGCTTTGAATTTATCATGCCAGTCCTTTCTGGCCTGCCAGGTTTCTGTGGATAGGTCTGTTGCCAATCTAATGTTTCTACCATTGTAGGTTACACATCTCTTTTCCCAAGCTGCTTTCACAATTTTCTCTTTGTCTCTGAGACTCGTAAGTTTTTCTGTTAGATGTCGGGGTGTTGACCTACTTTTACTGATTTTAGAGGGGGGTTCTCTGTGCCTTCTGGATTTTGATGTCTGTTTCCTTTCCCAAATTAGGGAAGTTCTCTGCTGTAATTTGCTCCAGTATACCTTCTGCTCCTCTCTCTCTTTCTTCTTCTGGGATCCCAATTATTCTAATATTGTTTCGTCTTATGGTATCACTTATCTCTCGAATTCTGGCCTCGTTATCCAGTAGTTGTTTATCTCTCTTTTTCTCAGTTTCTTTATTTTCCATCATTTGGTCTTCTGTATCACTAATTCTCTCTTCTGCCTCATTTATCCTA